CTCGCCACTTGATTATGAACATTAAAAGCTATGCAGATGATGAATGTTTGTTAAAGTTTATTAGAGTAACTAGCGATAATTCAAAAACATGGATCATTAATTAATTCTACTGATATGGCTTCCAGTAGATTGTATCAATTTCAAGAGAATGTCAAGATTTAAGTATTGTAAAAATATCACTATCTTCACATCTAAAGTGAATTTTTTTATATTGCACATATTTACTAATATAATCCACAATTAACCTATTACTGGTTATGCAGATGATTCTAATGATTAATTTCAGGACATAACACAAAATTTCACAAATTAATGGTTAATTCCAAAAATAATTTGGCATTATTTTAGGTAAAGACAAAACAGGACATTTATATACACTAAATAAAAAGACACAAACATATTTTTCCTCACTCTCTGAACTTAAATCTGAATTTCCTTTTCTTGTTTTGACTTAATTGGAATTACCAAAATCATTTCCATTTGTTAAATGCTAAATTTAAAATACTTTTATCACAAGTCCAGATTTCTATAGAATGTCTTCACTCTGCTTTCTGGCATTTACCTAACACAATATATGGTTTCAACTGTAAATGAATTGTAAATTTTATCAAATCAGTCATATCTCTAAATTTTAGACCCAGCCTGACATGAAAATGTTTTCATGAGAAAAAAGCAAAATTGAAAAGGTAGATAGCCTTTGTGCTCCAGTGTGTTTTGACCGCAGAAAACAACCTGAATCAAGAATCAACCTGAAAACAATGTCAAAGGTTTATCTTTTTACATACAGAGATAAGATTAAGCTCTGATGAAATTATAAAAATTCAATTATTTAGAAAAATGTTTGTATGAACAGCTAATACTTCACCTGACTCATAAACTGGTGGATCAGCCTCATTCCAGTCAGACTTTGTTCTTGTTGCTGGTCCGGTGTCTCTTGGTCTGATTCCTCACTCAGCGCTCACAACCACACCACAGGGGATTTCAAGTTCTATTCACAACAATAAACTAAAAAACTTTTTTACTTTTTCAAGTGCTAGGTTTTTGTTTTGAACCACAGGCAGTTTCAAAACGAGTTATACAGATTATACTGGCTGGAGGTGGTGTACTCCTTTAAAGTGTCAGGATGGAATGTTAGTCCTGAGGGAGGAAATATTTGAATTTTCAACACCACTTTAAAGCTCTGTTTGAAGTTTTAGCTATTAAATGGAAATGGAATAACTAGTCATGAATTATTATTGGTTGATTTCAAATAATTACTAAATATGTTGATCAGCGTAAACCTAGTGCAGGTAACAACATGCTGGTGATAGAGCATATCAGAAATGCAAGTGGACATTTGACCTGAATGAGGATCACAAAAAATCCCACAAATTTTATTTAGGTGAATCCTGCAACTTGTAAGCCAGGCCCCTTTGGTTCTGGAAACCCTTCTGTACAATCTGAAAGCACACATAGTCCTAGATCTTGGTGGACTGACATGTAGACGATGATTTGCCATACAAAGTTTATTGCTGACATGTTTTCACAGATATCTTAATAAATAACTCATCAAAAAGCATAAAGGTTATAGATATTGCATGTCTTAACAGCAGAAGTTCAGCCTGCTGAACTTAAGATGTCTTTATTCACAGAGACGTCTGTATTTATAAACAAATAAAATGACTACATATCTTTCAGAATCCTTGACATCTTTTCCACTGCAATCTGTCTTAGGTTTCTTCTTGCCTGTTTTTTTTAATTTTGCATTGGGTTTTATTCCCACATTTTTTCCCCCGAAACTAAGTCAGCCAAGCTGATTAGGTACAATATGTAAATAGTGTGATGGGGGGAAAAAGCAGCTGCAGGATTCACATAGCAGAGAAGCAGAAGGTGTTCTTGGTCCTCGTCTTTGTGCACAGATGAAGACAAGAGAAAAGTTTCACCTAATCGACCGAGACAATCCTGAAGGCATTGACTTTGTGCTTACATTCTGTTTATGTCTGAAGCTGCAGCACAAATAGCTTAGTTTTTTTTCCTCCTAAACAAAATGGAAGCCAGAGGCATAAGATTTCTCTTAATCAATACCTTCAGCTTCGCAAAATGTCAAAAACAGGAAGTCCTCATGACCTGCAGTCAAAGCTGATCAGACAGATTTAATTTTAAACTTTGCAACATTACAAGTGGCTAACTGGTAACTGCTGGCTGAACAATACAGGATTCCAGAGAGTCATAAAAATAATTTGGATGTATGAAAATGACTAGTTACTCTGAGCTACATTTTTAATCCAGTGGTGATGCAGAACCTGGGACTAGATGTGTGTATACTGAGCACACTGAAGAAAACACAGGCATTGTGGATATTTAAGCTTGTTTCTGAAGGGAGATGACTGGAGAGAGGAAAATCCGAGGAGTTCAAGTTCAACTTTATTCATCATTAGCAGAGTATAAACATGTTTCTTTGTACAATGACAAACATGCTTTCAATGTGCAAGAAAGTCTCTTTCAAAAGGTAAAAAAGTAATAGATATAAAATAAATAACCTTGTAAATGTGACAAAAATATTATCTACAAGCAACATTAACATCATAAAATAAATATACATTTTATGCAATAAATAGTTAGAATAAAATATAGACTCTATGACTGAACACTGAACCAGACAACAATTAGCTCCATGTGTTCATTCAAAAATCAAAAAATGTTTCAGGGTTAGGTGGAATACATTTTTAAAAAGCTGCCAGTGGAAAAAGCGGAACAATAGCAGAATCCAAAAAAATAGATAATAGAAAAATAGAAGGCTGGACTGCTGGGAAAGGAAGCATGTTTTCAGACAACCTGCAGAACCATTAAAGCCTTTTCCCTGGTTGTCATCAGAAAACTTAGAAAAAGAAGATAAACAGAGGATCCAGGAAGTTTAGAAATATCCCACAGATATTTCATCATTGTTCCTGAACCTGTGCTGCACACTCACATATTATCTACTCATATCTCCAAGTGCCAAATGGCAGAAACACTTTCATGCTTCTACACACTGAATCACTTTATCTGCGTCTTATTTGGGCGACTCCAATATTTACAAAACTTTGCCCACCTGGTACCATGGCAACAGTCCAAGGCTTCCTTCAGATCAGTTACATAATTCTTCTTCTAATGTAGAGTCTGTGTGACTGTCTTCAACTTCACACCAGACTGAGAGCGTGTCACGCTCCCTGCCCTCTGGAATGCTCTTCCTGTCTACAGCTGCAGCACACTGTCCCTGGATACATCATGCACATCCCAAGCAATGCGTGTCTGCCGAAACATCTAATCTAATGCGGTTTTCTCTGCCTGTGGCAAGTTTCTCCTCTCGTCTTTCTGGATAACACCCAACAATTAACATGATCTTTTATATCTCAGATGACATAGAGTGAGCTTACTGAAGAAGGCTGCTGATAAAGCTAGCATGTCTCCTTGCTTGCAGATACCTTTCAACAATGACTGTGCACCTTTCTCTCTTCCCCAAACTCACCAATAGTTGACCCATATTGATGGGCTTACATTGTCTGAATGTTGGATTGCTATACCTCCTATAAAGTTACTATTAGCCTTTTGGTTACTTCTCTGACAAATGTTATGTTAGTAGGTTTGCCATATCAGATGATGAACTGAACAATGCACTGTGAGTCATTGAAATCCTAGAAACTATTATATGACCTATCTATACTTCAAATGTATGTACAACTTTACCTCAAACCTGCTTAGTTCTTGGTGTTTGGGATTCTGTTAATTCCCTTATGCTTTCCAACAAATCTTCAAAATGTTCACAGACCAGTTGCATTTATACTCAGATGAAATAACTCACAGATTGACTCTCTTTCATAATTGGGTGACTTCTGAAGGCTCTGGAATTGTTTTCATTATAAAGTGTATCTTCTTTGTCACTGAAAGGAGTTCCATAACAGATGACACCATGTAAACCTTTCAAAGTGACAGTGTCATTTCCTCTGACAGAGACAGAGGCGGTACTGACAGGAAGCTGCTAACCACCATGGTTTCCTGTCACTGAGACATAAGACAACCCAGCAGCTGTTCCCCAGAATGTTTCTATCATAGACTGCGAGTTGTAACAACAACCGCAAACACCAACATCACCAAACACACCAGCTATGGAGTATGGTTTTTGGAATATTTGATTGTGCGCTTTGAAACTAGAATTTTTTTGTTGTTTTTATTTTAATCGGCAACAATTGCAAATTACCTGGAAGCATGCCAACAAATGCATTGGTATTATTTTAAAACGTCAGATTTTGTAAATAAACTTATATCCATCAGCAGGTTGAGTATGTCATAGGACAACCATTTCCCTTTGTTATGCTGTGACCACGCCCCTCTGGGGCTGTCTTTGTACCTGATAGGTTAACAAATCTGGCAAAGCGGAAGCACCCTCTCACAACCGCTGTAAGAAAAGTGAACGGGAGCTTTGGAAGAAAGGATATTCAAGAATAAAAAGATGCTACCAGAAATACAAATATCAGGCTTTCACAATAAAAAAACAAAAATGGTTAGGGAAGGAAATAAGTGCGTTATAGTAACTCTTTAACAGATATTTATGAAACTTGCTAAATACTGACTAATAAATTGTGCACTACTATTTTTCTTATCAATAATAATATTAATAATAATTTAAACCATTTTTCATCTTTAATATTTCCTATGCGCTAATTTTAGTTGTGTTAGACCAATGAAAAGTTGATCAATCAGTGACTGAACTAAGCCTGTGATTCTCTGTTGTACAATTTGAAGACAAACGGTTTTTTGGGATGAATGATATAACTGTTTCCCGCACTATCACAGAATTTAAACCTTTCACACAAAATTAAGTATTTTAATTTATTTTGTTCAAACTGCCGCTGTGATGGCATTAGTCATTCATATCTAACAGTATTCGACATTTTAGGTTTGTGAAAAGACTTATTTTATTTTTCTGAAATATTTGAGCGGAAGTCGCGCCCGTGACTGTGCCCCGCTTGACATACGTGTGGCTCAGCGCGAGCAGGACTTGAGAGAGCGGAAAGCGGGTGTTTCTCCTCTCTGTCCCGGTTTGTTACTTTCTGGGGAGTGCTCCTTCAGACTGATTTCCCGCCTCGTACACATAGACAGCAAACAGCAAGATGGAGATCGAGAAGGAAATGAAGAAGGTGAGTTGTCCTGTCCTGTGGAGTCTCCTCTGTCCTTGTGAGCAGCTGGGAACGCCCTGAAAGGTGCGCCGAGCACCGAGCAGGTGGCGACAAAACCTCGCCGTACTGATCCAATGGGTTACGATTCAATTAGTTAGGAGGCGTTTCTGACTCAAACTTTGAGACTGGAACAAATTAAAATTTATACTGAAATACATCTAACACCACTTTATAGTAATTTCTCTTAGTTTACATGTCGTTTTTAAAATCGTGCAGCTGGTTCACAGAGTTGGAAAGCTATTTTAAGTTGTCAGAGAGACGTTACTTTTTCTTCCTGGTCAAGTCGCTCGTGAGGGAACTGACTGCGTGAACGACAGCGAGTTTCCAGCAGAGACGTTTGGAGGGGCTCAAAGTTAAAAAAACGAGACATTGAACAAGATCATTCAGGGGCCTCCAGACATTCAGGGGCCTCCAGACATTCAGGGGCCTCCAGACATTCAGGGGCCTCCAGAAATGGTTTAATTGTAACAGACCATAGATCTAAACCTGTAGCATCATTGATAGAGAATGACAATGTTATTAAATTTTATTTAATGGAGTCAACTGAGAAAAAAAAGTACATTTAGGATTTAATTAAAAAGTTTACTTTGAAAAAGTTTAAGGAATTAAAGTCTAAATCCTACAGTACCTTCGGAAGTCATCTGATAAGTAAATAAGGTCCATCTGTGTAATTTGCCAGTGTAAATCCAGCTGTTCTGTGAAGGTTTCAGAGGTTTGTTGGAGAGCATTGGTGAAAGCAGCTTGATCAAGATAAAGAGGGATAAACTAGCAGAGGTTTAAAGCCGAGTTGGGTTGTAAAGTGCTTCCTGGTTTGTCTGTTATATGGAGCAATATTCCATCTTAAAATTGAAACAGGGAAGGAGAACATTAATCAGAGAAGCAGCCAAGAGGCTGGTTGTAACTCTTGTGAATGAATCTTTTGACTGCTAGTAGATGTTAGATATGCTGGTCAGGCAGATTTGCATTGTTAAAATACAGCCATAAAACTTTCATTTATATTTTACCACAAGCCATGTAGAGGACACATGCACTTCCAACATAATAATGAGAACAAAATATATATATTCCTTATACTCATATCACTCCAGGATTTCCCAGTGTACTGGCCAGCCACCAGGCTTTACTTGGCTCCCCGCCCGACTAAGTGCCTTTTGTTTATTTGAAATAGTTTCTTTTATAGGCCAGTCTCAGTAAAGACGGATTTAGCCAGGTTTATAGTTGAAGCATGGAACTGTGTGCAAGAGGGTGGACATAAGTTATGCCGCCTCTCCACCAGCCCATTGACTTCACACGCTGTCATTTTCAAATGATGACATCTGCTTGTGGGCCTGTGAATTAATGTAACATTTTATTTACAAAGACACAGTGGCCCACTGAAGTTCCAAAGAGCCACAGTATGAATTAAACATAATTCAAGTTGAAAGTGTTGCATAATTTTCAGCCTCCTTCTTAGCATTTGCATTTGGCAACAGGCCAAATTGACAAAGATAATGCAGTATTTTAATTCCACACTAGAGAAAATACATAGTTTCAATAAGTAGATTTAGGGAAAAAATATTGGTATTGGTATACCAAATGAGTTTTAGTGCGTCGCCATATCGGATATTGGCCAAAAATCCAATATCGTCCATCCCTAAATGAAACTAGTTTGAATACATACATAACATATAATGTAGCTTGAGTATTATACATTACTGTTACTACACAAGCTGAGATTTCCAGTGCCTTCCAAAAATATTTCCAGTTCTTGTTCCACGTGTGGGTGTAGTTTGGGATTTTTATGTGATGGAGCAACATAAAGAAGCGCAGCATTGTCAAGTGGAGGGAAAAAGAGACAATAATTTCAAATATCTTATACATAAAAACTTGATAATGTGGGACTCATGACGATGGCGGTGAACCAAAGCACACCTTTCTGTAGAAGTTGTTTTGTTGGAGGAACAGTGACTCATTTACAGTAGTATAAACACTGTACCAGTGACCCTCAGTTATGCACTTTGTCATCATTTCTACTGTTGGAGTAAATCATTTCTAGAGTGAATCACACTGTGAGACAAGCCTGCAGTCACTTGTTAAAGCATGAAGATACAGATGCAAGTCAAGTCCAAGTCCACCCTTCCAATAGCTACTCATTTTCACTGTGCTCAGATAAATATTTAGACCACCACATTTTTTGACCCATTATCTTGGTCTTTTGCAAGTTTTTCTTGGATCTGAAGCTGATGAGTACAATTCAGTCTATCTTAGATCCAGTGGTCTGTTCACAGTTTTAAATCGAATTGCAGTTTCTGCAGCTGTTGCTCTAACTCTCTCAAGAGGAGGAAGCCATTACTGTAGTCTCGTGTCTGCATTCCTCACCAGCAAGTGTCTTTTGGGTCAAAACATTCCTTTTGACAGATTGGTTGCCTGCGGGGCTCTCATCAAGCTTTGAGCTTCTTTGAATAGTTACCCATATATGGAAATAAACAGCAGTTATGGGCTGGGGTGCATATGACAATTGGTTGACACACATGTTCTAAGAGAAAAACAGATGTAAGAGTAGAAATGGCTTAAAGGGATAAAAGTTCAGATTGTTTTTCTTCAGACGGGTTGAGATCTTTTCTTTTTCTTTGGCTGCAAACATTCTGTCACTTCCTGAGGAATGTCAAAAATCCTAGAGCCTGGAGAAAAGGAGGAAATTTAACCAATAAAGTTTTCAGTCTGTAGCAGGTCTGTTCATCAATCCAAGTCTCATGCTCATCAGTTGTTTAGGTAAACAATAGGACAGTACCAACCTGAGCTCTGCAGAGTTGCCTCTCTCTTCCAGATCAGCACCATGTGTTCATTTCCAAAAACAACAATAGTCCCAATAATCCACTCCCAGCCTTCAGCAGACACTTTTTTCATGTCGTCTCAAAATACCTCTTTGAAATATTAATTATCGCCCTCTATCAGGAGTAGCTAGTAAAATCTTATCTGTCAGAAATATGTTCATTTTGGAATCTATGTCCAGTAAAAACTTATTCAGATAATCTTTCTCAAGTCATTTTAAATTAATCTAATATTAAGTCAAGTCTAAATATAAATAATTTTTTTTTTCTTTTTCTTTTCCAGGTGACTCTGGGCCACGAGTTTGGTGCCGGAGCGGCGTGCTTAAAATGCAAAGACAAATGCGAGGGATTCGAGCTGCACTTCTGGAGGTTTGCACAATCAGTTTGTGTTGACAGTGATACATGACGAGAGCAAGCAGTGAGCAGAGGAGTTTAATGTCCTGCTTTCTCACTCAAGAGTCACAATTTTGGCCGATTCCCCTTTCCATTTAAAAGCTAACTGGTTAAATATTTTCTGCTTCATTATTTGGGTGAGAAGTAGAAATGATGTTGAATCTTGTGTGTGAGACAAACATCACTGCATAACGAGGTTTTACTTATACTCAGTGTTGCTGTAAACCAGGGGTGCTCAATACGTCGATCGACTGGTTGACTGGTCCGAAAAATAGCTTTATTTAGGTTTTTGTTTAAAGCTACAAATCAGCCATAGAAAGAGTTTACAAAACAGCCCTCCAGGCTCTAGCTGGGACTTCAGACCATAACTGCTCAGTTATGGTCTGCACAGTTGTGGAGTTTTATGAGCAGTGGTCTCACGCTGTCAGAGTGAGACCACTCTGACAGAGCGGTCTCGCCAAACTTTGTCATCAGAAAAACTATTGACCTGTGGCATACTTCTGTGGGAAAAAAACGTCAAATCTGCGTGGAACAGATCAGGCTTGAGAATCTGGCAAATAGCAGATTTCTTTTATTTCTGTCATTTGCAAACGGAGAACACACAGCACCACAGCTGTACCTGCAATGAATTCTGACTTGAAGCTGTAAGCTCTCACAATATGTAGGATTCTTTACACAATGTGGTCACTCCCTTGGCTCAGAGTCAATTCCAATTGAACAAGTTTACTGCACAGTCATGTAACCACAGAGTGGACAGGATGCAAACTCATCCTTACTGAAAGGTCCGTTAATTCTTATTCAAAATATGGAAATTTCCAAAAATCAGGATGCTAATGGAACAATTTTGGATATCAAAAACATTGTCAGACCTTGTACGTATTCAGCTTGTGACATTCAATGGATAAATTTGTTAGACCTTAGGGCTTATTCAATCTTAATATATTTACCCAAACTATCTGTTAACAAACTCTGGCACCTTGCTTTGGTACTTGTGGTGAGACATTAGTCCACTCATCAGTCTGTTACGACTGCTGTAGATCAGGGTCAGCAGGAAACCTATATGACTGGTTCTTGGCCTACATATTTTATCAGACTGAACAATACTAATATTAAATTAGTAAAATAATTAAATAAAATTGTTTTTAAAAAAAGAACACAATTTTCACTTCACACTTCTCACAGCAACTAGAGCTACTTTTATTGAGTCACAAGACTGTTAAGTTAGAATGTTTGTTCATTTTTTTGTTTTTGGCTCCTTGGTTGTCAAACTGTTTGAAAAGCTAATGCAGTTCAATTTGACATATTATTCCTCTTCACAGCTACAGTTTGGTATGTTCAAGCTCAAACATGCCTTGGCAGAAATTATGTCAGAGTTGACTACAAGCATGGAGATTTCTGTGTTGAGGCTTTTTAAAGGTGCTGTGATTTAACAATATCACAGAGGAGATGATGCTTATTTACTGTTTAAATAAACAGTACAGTTAGCTATTTCAAAAAGTCCAAGAAATATGCGTTTTTATATTTTAGAAGCAAAATAATCTTCTTTACTGGGGGAAAATACACTTGTGTCTGTAACCTCATTTCAGATAAGTAACATAAGATTTTCCATATTACCTAAAGTGAAAGATGTCAGATAACCCTGAAATATGAATGTTGCTACTTCTGATATTCATCAGAACCCAGTCAACAAGCAGTTGTCATGTGATTTTGGGATGTTCATATTCACACAGACTTTTCAAAAGTCTAGAAACTGAAACTGACAAAAAACAATAGTTTGACTGCCTTGGTCAAACATGTGAAAATAAGCTGCAACAGACCTTTCAAATGGTTCAGAAAGTACAATTAGGAATTCTAAATATAATTTACAATAAAGCATTAAGTCACTTCGAGCACATAGCATAGCATTGAATTGGATAGGTCTGCCCTTAGAGATTGGGCACATTGTCACTGATACCCCATCTAAAATTTCTTTCAATATCAGGACCAATGCAGATTTGTGCATCTGTAATTATAATAGTAGTTATTTATGGAAGAATTATTGAACTGTACACAATACCTCACCGTGTCAGATTTACGTTCCTCAAAACGTATATCTAACACATATAAAAACCTCATTGCTATGTGGTTGCAATACCACATTCAAGACAGCAACAATTTTCTGACCAATCATACAACACTTCACAAAGAACTCTCTTGAAATGATGTAGTTCGTTCCAGGTTTGGTGTCAAATTCAAAAGGCAAACGTCTGTCTGCGAACAAATTGATGCAGTTAACGTCACGCATCGATGAGAGCCGACTGCAGCACTACGTATGAAGTCTGTGGAGCCTTTAACGTGACAAGACACTCTTATTTTCTTGTGCAGGAAAATTTGTAGGAACTGTAAGTGCGGCCTCGCAGAACATGATGTGTCGATGAACTCGGAGGAGAACAAGAAGGTTGGCAAGCTGTTTGAAGACACTAAGTACACAGGGCTCATAGCCAAACTGAAGACAGATGGCATCCCCAGGTACCAGGGAAACATGGTGACCATCACTCTGCCCAGCCCCACCACTGCTTGCACAGTGCCCCCTGTGGCTTCCTCTACGATGGTACCTCCTTCCCACACAGCGGTGTACGCACAGCCTGCTGTTACCTCTCCTGGGCCGGTGCCCATTGGCTCTCCAGCACAAGCCCAGGGGAAGCCTCTTCTGTCTACACACGTCATCATCACTCCAGTCAAGGCTAACAAGGTGCCGGTCACTGCCAACGCTACAGCAGCCAATGTGCTTCCAGTCCCCAAAGATGTTTCAATGAAATCCATCACCTATGAGTGGGCACCACCAGTGGCCAACAAGCATCTGGTAAGACCCTGAATCAGTCATTAACTCTCTTTATTTAGATTTCGGGGGTCAATATCTGAAAAATCTTTCTATAGAGCAGATTTTTACTGAAAACGGTAAATAAAGTGGTTCCTCATTAAACTGTCTTGTCTTCATCTGGCTTGGAGTGTCATTTCATTTTGAGCAACACTATTAAGAGTTAGTAGTGGTCACAGGGACTATGTCAGAGCCAGACTTGGAGGGATTTTTTTAGATGATGTTTTTGGTTTGGAGGGTTGGTTTGGAATTTAACTTTTACATCACAACAGCGACACTCTGTGGTCGCTTTGGACCACTTTCAGTTTTTGAGGTGATGAAAAAATTCAGTTCCATGACGGATCACAATTCCTAGTCCTGAGAATTCTGAATCGAATCAAAATGCTCCCAAAATTATTCTAGTCAGTTTAATTTTTTTAGTACAATTGTATTTTGAATATTTCTTTTACATTTTTTTATTCAAGTAAAAGCAAGGCAGCTCAGCTGACCTGACACAAATAATTTCAGTTAAAAAATTTTTATGCGCAAATCTAGATATGTTTAAGTGAAAGAGGAATTCAATAATGTATAAAACTTTATAGAATTGTCTTCGATAAATGCTGTGTTTACGCCATCTTTTTCCTGTCATCAGTCTCATCATTTAAACAAAATCTCTTGTCTGTTTGAATAGAAAAATTGGTTTTTAAATTAGAAATTGTTTCAAATTTTATTACAGATTAATTTGATAAACTACAGAAAAGTTATTGTTAGGGGAGCTCAACTGTGAGAAATTGGACTGATGTTGATATGTGACAGTAATACTGCTGTTAGATTTAGCAATGTTTTATCTTTTTTATCCGATTATTAATTGTAAGAATACTCAATAGATTACTCGATTACTAAAATATTTGTTTACAACAGCCCTATTTCAAATACATTTTACTATGCTCAATAAACAGTCTTTCCTCTCCACTGGGTCTGTTTATTTTATGTGTTTTCATTCTATGTGTACATTTCTTTTGAAACTTTGGTTGAAAGTCACCTCTTTCTACTTTGGGTCCTAAATGTTTTGCACTATTTATGTCTGTAAGTGTGTTATTCACAAATATTTTTAAATATTTAGTTAAAATATGATGGCTGTTCTAATGATTCTTACTCAGTTTTTACTTCTGTGGTCTTTGTTTAGTCTCAAGTTGTATCTGAAAGAGCCATGTTGTGGTTTTCTGTGGGCTGCAAGGCAGAACAGTTTTTGTAGAGTCTCTCTGATTGGTTCTTTAATTTCTTCCCCCAGCTCTGTCTTCTAATCATCCCTCTTTAAACATTTTGAACTTGAACTAGATTTTAATTTTCTCCCCTCCGTCAGGCGGTGCATTACATTGAACTGCTTCCACCTGAGAAGCGTCCAGTTGCCGGGACGCAGGGGGCCGCTTACCGCCGACAGCAGATGGATCGCCAGCTGCCTGACCACGACCAGGACCCGTCCAAGTGCCATGAGCTGAGCCCTGAGGAGGTGAAGCAGATGCAGCAGTATGTCCGTAAATGCAAGGACGAGGCCTTGGGCGTTGGAGATGTCCTGCTGCCTGAGGAGGTGGCTCAGATTCAGGCAGGTGGAGCGGGTGCAGCAGCTGCTGGTTCTGGAGGTACACCTGGGAGGGCTGGTTTTGGTTCTGCAGCAGCTGGTGTTGGAGGGGCTGGAAATGTACCAGGTTTTGGAGCTGGTGGTGCCAATTCTGGGCCAGTTCTTGCAGGTTCTGGTGTTGGTGGTTTTGGACCTGCAGGATCTGGATCCACTCCAGGGTCTGGGACTGATCAGTCTGCTGGTCTGGGACCAGCCAGAGGGTCCCTGGGTACCGCTGCCACTGCTGGAGCCATCAATGCTGGACTGCCACAGAAGAACTTTGTAAGGAATTTGTTTTTAAAAATGTTCCTTAGTTATACAGCAGTGTCATACTCACACCTGTTATGGTAATAAATGACTTGGGTGATAAAATGTACCAGAACATTCTGATAAACAATAATGTTGTTTTGAGACAATTTTCAAATGAAGTAAAAAAAAATTAAAAATAACAGAATAAAATATTCTGAAAGATCAATGAGCTTAAAATTATAATTAACATGTAACACTGGAAGGCATAATAAAAATATTTAAAAAAAACCCAAAAACATAGAAACAAGACAATCTCTGAAGTCTGTAAAAAAGAAAAAAAAAAAGTCCATTAAAAAGGATCTATTTGAGACCAAAACAGTAGACTGAAAACTTTTTATCTTCCAGTTTTTGGTAGAAAAAGACAAAAACTAAATTATGAAAATAGAAATGATTGATTTTGTTTTAATTTGCCATACAATTAATTGATTTATTGCATATTGTGGCAGGCTTAGTCATACCTCAAATAATAATAATAATAAAAAAATTCTATGATTCTTTTTAAAGGCTTACTTTGGTCTTTTGACTAACCTTTCATCTTATGGCTGAAAGGTGTTTTATGGTATGAAAAACATCTTGCCAGTCAAATTCAGAATGTTATGATTCCCAAATGTAGGTGCTTTTTAATGGGCATTTAAAAAAACCCAAGAAACAACACTTAAGTTTAATCAGTGTAATTGCGCCAACTTCTTTCAAGGATTATAATACACAAAACATATGTGGATGTGTACATTTTTAAAACTTAACTGTGCATAAATAAAAAAAATACACAGAAGTCAAATGACTTTTTGACTTCATTTTGAATGCAGTGGTGTAAAACTATCACTTTGACATTTTATCATGTCATCACTTTATCTTGAGCAAGAATATGTTATTATTATTGCTACTAGCAGCTGTTCTATTTCAGCAATGTCTTACTTTAATACTTGTATCATATATTCTGCAGTACATTGTTCCACTTCTCACACCTTCAATCCAACTTTGAAAATAAAAGCTTTCAGAATTATGATTGTACACATAAAATTATAATCAATAAAATCAATACAAGCTTACATTTGCACAGTTTTTCCAAAGTGATCAGAACACGCAGTACCAGAGAATGCTGATGTTATTCCCATATTGGACAGTAAGGGGAGCCATGACTCTGCCTGTGTCAGCCTTCCCAGTCCTCTGTGAGGGACTGGGGACGGCAGTCACAGCATCATCATGGACAGTCAGAGCCTCACAAACTCAGCTGTGAGGTTTGTGCTCATTTTACTGCTGCACTCATAAGAAGCAAAATGTTTAAATGAAACAATCATACCAATATTGATCAGAATAAGCATGCTTCCTTTATTTATTTATTTATTCTGGATGTAAACATATTGTAGAGGGATGTCCAAGGAGTGGTCTGTGGGCCATTTGTGGCCTGAGAATAATTTTATTTGGTCTGTGATCAGAATTCAGGAAAGTTTCAACTATGACCCTCCATAGTGAAATGATGCAGATGGAAATATCTTAAAGTGAAAAATGTTCTATACAGCACAAGGTGTTTGTCTTTTCTTAACTGTATTTTTAGCTTTAATTTCTTTTGCATTTCTGATTAAATAAAAAGTTTTTGAGGAGATCTTTTAGACAGTTTTGGTAAAACTATTTGGCAATGCTATTTTACAGGATCATGAGATTGTTTTTAAAGTGTTTTCTGCCTCCTTTTAATAGCCTGAATTTATTAATTTTTACCTCAACCCTAAAAAAGTCTCATTTTTTCATGTTTCTTCATTGTGTAATATTTTAGATTCATTCAAGTTATAGTTGACTAAGTAATGCCTGCTTGACTTATTACATCCTTTACGAAATACAATTATTTTTACCACGTTAAAAGATTTTTTATGTGTAGTAAAGCTACATTTTGAAATAAACAGACTTATTCTTCTTAAGTTTTATTTGTATAGACTTTTTTGTCAAAAGTCAAAACTCATAGATAGGAAGAGTAAGTCTAATCTATTTTTGCATCTTGTCTCAGCCTCAAAAAGAAACACTAGAATTAAATATGATTTCATTGATTAATTTTCTGGGGTAAAATGTCAGTTGTCTGTTTTTTCTTCAACATAGTAAATGGTCATTGATGAATTTAGAATGTTTTCATCCACAAAAATAACGCTGACTTTAAGTCATTAGGAAGCTCAATTAAGTTACTTGAGCTTGTTTCAAGAATTATGTCTATTTTACATTTAAATTCTAATAATTTAAAATAAAGTGCAGTAAAGCCTTGAGTTTAACTTGCAGGAGCTTTGAAATATTTCCTTTTCATCTCCTACATCACATTGACAACCATTTTTCTCCTTTTCTTTTCAAGTCATGCCATCACTGTAAGAAGCCAATGCTGCTGGGTGAGCCAGCCGTATATGCGGAGCGTGCCGGCTACGACAAACTGTGGCACCCGGCGTGCTTTGTGTGCTGCACCTGCAGTGAACTGCTGGTAGACATGATTTACTTCTGGAAGAAAGGCAAGATGTACTGCGGACGTCACTATGGAGACAGCGAGAAGCCCCGATGTGGTGGCTGTGATGAGGTGATAACCAGTCGCTCTTAGATTGGAAACATGCATGTTTGCTTAAAAAGGAGCTGACACCTGCATGTGTCTGCGTATGTACGTGTGTTTGTCCACAGCTGATCTTCAGTAATGAATACACTCAGGCAGAGGGACAGAACTGGCATCTGAAGCATTTCTGCTGTTTTGACTGTGACTGCATCCTGGCTGGAGAGACATATGTGATGGAGAACGACAAGCCCATCTGCAAACCCTGTTACATGAAAAACTTTGCTGTGGTGAGTCTGGTCTCCTGACTTTGTTCCAGGAGAAGTTGTCATTTTAACCTGGAACACACACATGCACACACAGAGTCCTGGGGAATTCTGGGAAGTTTTAGTCACTGGCTGCTCTAACAATCTACTGCAGAACTTCAGAACATGTTTAGTGTTTTTTTATGGTGGGTTATTTGGAGACAATATCTACATCAGATGGTGAATTAAATAAAATTGGTTTGTAATAGAGACCAGAGGTAACAGCTAGTCTTAAGTGGAGCCATTCATTGTCTTTTTACTATCTTTAAATGACTTCAATCTCTCTCTTTGTGACAGAAATATTGTTTTATAAACCTTTTAACCAGCTGTAACATTTACATCAAAATGGTTATTCAAAGGGCAGTATTATGTAGAATAGATTTTCTTGAGCTTCACTTCATGTTATAATGTTATTCCGTCATCATAAATATACCTGGGGTGTTACCTTGATTCTTTAATGCATGTTTAGAAATCTTCTAATCTCCATGGCAACCACTCAGCTGTGCAAAATGCCTGCTTGGATTTAGCTCTGCCTTTGAGACTTAGTTCCTCCAGCTTGCAAACATCCACCGCACAGAGCCTTTCCTCCCCCACTACTCCTTCAGACTAGCCAGCAGTAATTAGCAAACACTGGCTAGATAGAACTGAGCATCTGCTTCTTGTCAGTGAAAGCAGACAAGAAGCAGAATTTTGACATAATTTCTAATAAAAATTATGTCAAAGGGTCAATAGCGTGAGTTAACTGGTTCAGGCACTGGTTCAGAAAGAAACTCGACCTGAGACATAGGCCCAATTTAAGACAATAAATCATGAAATCAGATGTCTTTTAAGTCATAATTTGATATACATAGCATTTTTATAACAAGTGAAGTTAACATTAACTTGTTTGAAGTATAAAATGGCACTATATGACTGGAAAAAACATAATTCTGTCTCTTTAAATAAATGTAATTATTGAATCTGGAGATTCGAGTTCATGAATGGCCATTCCAAGAACTAGAATGTGTTAAACAAGATAATGCAAATATGTGATGGGTAAAACTATACAATAAACCAGTCTCTGTTTTTCTTAGATTTTTAATCTTTTGATTCAGATTGCTTTTAAGGAGCATAACATAAAAGAGTTTTTGTGTAAACTTTGTTGTAATTCAACAATGAAATCTAAAAACCATTGAAAAGAAATAAATTTTATTGAACTGAAAGTGCATTTTGATATTTAAAATCAACGATCCACTATAGTGGTCCCAGTAAGGTGCAGTTTTAGATAAAATTTAAATAGAATCGTCTTTAGGATGGTTATTTGACCTTCACGAAGCTATCAATTTGTATTTACACAACTTGACATTTTGTTTACAAATTTGGTCACCTGTAAAGGTTTTACGTGTAAATCATTAATGTATAGGGCAGAAAAATCAATGAAAGTGTTTATTAAAGGAAGATCATGCACCATGACAACAACATCAACACAGTGCTCATCAGCCAAAGCCTTTAGCACTAACAAAAACAGGAAGATGTTAAAGTATGTTGCAGTTTAATGAACAAAACAGACCTCATGCTGTCTGCTGCCAGTGTAGCTGTTCCCATATCAAAACCCAAGTTCAGCAGAATGGAAGCTCTGAGGTTTTGACTCATTTGTTTGGGTCTTATTCACTTTAACAAATCAGATGAGTGGCTTTTAGAAATGCATATATTGGATGACCTAAACAGAATTGAGCTGATTTTATGTTACTGTTAAAATCTTGAAGGTAAAGCTTCTACATAAAGGGAATTACCTCTTACTGCTAGCTGGGAGATATTATTACTCTTAATGGTAACATAATGATTGTTATACTTTTTTAAAACTCTTTTGCAAAGAAGGAATCAACTTTAAAACTCTCTTTGTATGACTGTGCATACAGTAATAACTGATTAAATCTCCACTAAAGCTGCTATACGTGTATATATGCTTCCATGCGATACTCATTTGGAAACATTAGGATGGGTCCTTTGCATATGACTTAGTGATCTGACCAAATATGTGAAATATTGAAGGAGAACTGGGATTTGATGTCATGATGTCCTTCTTTTTCCCAGAAATGTGCTTCATGCCAGAAGGCAGTGGAGCCTGAGGCTCAGAGAGTTTCCTATGGCGAGCACCACTGGCACGCCAAGCCGGACTGCTTCAAGTGCTCTGGTTGCACCAAGTGCCTGATTGGCCAGCGCTTCATGGCAGTGAAGAACTGCCTGTTCTGCTCTGTGGAGTGCAAGAAGAAAGTCATGGCATAGACCGTCCTATCTGTCTTCCAGAGCAGAGAGAACAACAGTTGGGTTAACATGTTGGTGTGCCTGTTCCCTTTAACATAGAAAGCTACTGCAGGAGTGTCTTCAAGTCAGGGTAAGGGGTTGAGGTTGACTTGCACTGATTTTGTTTACAGTTTTTACTTTTAACTAAAGTCGTGCCCATATTTTAACATATACTACCCCCAGGTATTCATTTCGTACTTCTTTAAGACTTTACATTGTCTTTCCAACCCTGAGCTGGAAAGTAGTAAAAATGTAGACAATAGCATCATGTTCTGGCTCTAAGCATTGCTGAATTGCCACATCTCTGATTTAGAGTGCACATGTAACATGTGTTTTTCATGTCACTCATTGTACATGATAATGTGGTTTAGAAAAACACTGCAGAATTGATTTAACACCTGTCTGCTGTCTCATCCCGCACTCCACCCTTCACTGTATAGCACTCCACATTGTGCAAATGTTTCACTGCTTGTTTTATTCTCAGAATAAAAATAACATAAAATCCTATAGCTACAACTGACAGCAAACATCTCACCCTGACAGTTTGAGGACAGATATTTTCTTTATCACATAATGAGAGTCTAACAGAAAACAACATTCTAAGAAAATCACAGAAACGTTAAGGATTTTTTTAAAACTCCTTTTGACTTGGACATTTTTATGGCTCCTTGTTGTACTACTCTAGTAGTGTCAAAATTCCAGTGAACCTTCAGATACTAAAGCAGGCCCTTTGCTAATCTTTATTGAATGATGTTTTATTCAAAATAGAACCAGCAAGGATTTTCCATTATAACTTTTAACATTAGAGGACTCATTATTGTAAGATATACAGCAAACCTAGACTTATAACAGGCAATCAGCACATTTCAGACAATATGTTTTCTGTCAACATGTGCTCAGTTGAATAATGGCCTTCATAGCCAAAGTTTGATTGATTTTTAGTCATTCTTGACCGCTAACATGCCCCTCACATAACAATATATCTCCTGCCTTTTCAGTGTATACACAAGTCTATGTAACTGATACGTTATCATTTGGTTTACAAGAGAATTTGCCTCTATAGCCATGCTTCTTCATTTATAACAACCATGTGACCCCTGAGTGAAGTTGTCAAATGTTTGTGCAGCAAAAACTTTCATTTGTGCTGCTAGAATTTTAAGGATATTGTTTCCAGAGGTCATGAAACAAGGCGGTCCACATTTACAAAACCAAACAAAACATGTCAATCAACTGCTACTTTTGTGGAGCAAACATTTTTATTTATGCTGTAATTTTTTAGATACAAAAAAAAGTTTCCAGTTTCCTCACCTAACAACACTAACATATCAAACAAAACTGATATAAATTGTGCTGTGTTTGTGCAGCTGAAATATTAGTAGCATGGTTGGTAACAAATTTGCTTGATTTTTGCAAATTTTGACTGACAGTTAACGTTTGACCTTTGGAAATATTTATCTTTGAAATGGTAGCGGTACAAATGACAATTTTGACTGAACAAACATTTCACACCAGTTTGGTCTAATTTGAAGAGGATGGATGGTGGAACTTCACTCAGGACCATCTGGCCACTTGAGGGCTCTCTTTATAGAGCATTAAACGTTCATTGGAAATTTTATACACATGGTCTCAATACGCATGTAATGTACAAATTATTGGTCTGCCATAGGAGACATAGTATCTAGCTGCAATGGAAGTTGATGTCTGAAATGAGCGTTTCTTCATGTTTAAACCCACGTAAAACACATTTTCTGACGCACCAACATGAACTGAGTTTGACAGCAGCCTTACTTTGACAACTGGGAGAGCGTTGACATTTCCTTGCTGGAAACGGTAGCAGTAACCATGATAGTGAGGTGGAAAAAATGTTACAATGTGGAAGCTGCGTACAATTCAAGGAAACTCCATCTCTCAGGAGGCCATTTTCTGAAACAGCAGCCACCTAAAAGGTGCTCTGCTTTTTCCCCTCTTTCAACCACAGCTCTGTCCGTTGATGAGAGCAAGTCGCCTCACCAGCTCTGAGTTCAGTCTGTCGTCATTCCTCGTTGTCATTGTGCCTCCATGTTGCTGGACTGTTTTCACCATCACTTTTGATCTAATAGAAGAGCTGCCTTTGATCTTGGCAAACTTAGCAGGATTAGAACACGGGAAAAGGCTTTTGTGACTCTGAGATTTGCATGTGATTTGCTTTATGCTTGAATGTCGATGAGCTGCAGTTTAATCTCTAACTGGAATTTGTATCTTGCTAAGCAAATTTGTTCAACCACCTTTATGATCTAAATTGGAGATGGGTGCTGTATTGTTTCTGGAGGTTGCATAAGATGGAACAGTTTTAACCTAGATTTAACCTTGAAAAATAAGATGATCCTCCAGGTTTTCTTAAACCTCTCACGGGGGTGGTCCCATCAGACTGTCAGTTTCCAAAACCACACAAAAATGGAAACCTTGTAAAAGGGTAAAAAGCCTCTGCAGGGTCCCACTGACCCCATTTCTTTTTGTAGAATTACAAGAATGCAGACCCTAGCCAGAGTGGAAACAGTGAGCCAGATTCTTATGAAGAGAGATTAGCTAATCTGGTACAGATTTCGTAAGTTTTGTCTTTTTAAATTTAATTTTCTTGTGGAACATCAGCAATGAACAAAGTCTTTCCTGATTTTAGACATGGAGCCCAGCACAGCGGCCATGAGAATTGAGAAAACCAATCCCAAGGTTTGTCTGGGTTGATGTTGACTTGGGCACCAGATAACTAAAACTTGAGAGCATCTGCTGCTGTTACACTGAACATTAGTACAGCTATCTGCTGCAAGGCTTTTGCATCACAGAGTTTTACATCACTAGGTAAAATATTAGTGAAGTAGATTAGTTATTTTTTTACACCCGAACCATATTGAGAAAATATGAACATTTTAAGAACAGTTATTTGAGTAATTTATGCATTATGAACATCATGGTAATCTTTTCTTGTTTGGAAGAAAGAACATTTCGAAAGGTAGAGAATTTGAATCCAGGACCTTCTTGCTGCAAAACAACAGCATCAGTAAGTTAATTACTAAGCAACCAAAGCAGGACATGGTGAGCAAAAATTTTAGAAAGAACTCCAAATATTTGGAGTTTTGCCAGTGATATCAATTTAATTAACTTTTCTAGTAAATAGTGGTGAATTTTCAAGCTTGAATTAAGATTTTCTACAGTTCAGGACTTAGTAAATATTACAAAAAAAGGGAAAGGCATGTGTGTAACAACATTCTTGGAGTGGCAAATGACTCAAACTTCAGTTTCAGATGAATGTGTTAAGTATGAAGACTTTCATAGAAACTAAACTTAAACAACTGTTTAAACATTGAAAGTAAATATTCTTAATGTTTACATTTCTTTAAAACATAGAAAATAAAGATTAATGTTTACATTTGTTTAAACATTTAAAATGTTTGCAAACTTTACTGATATTCTGCTAACGTCGAGAAGACGCACTTTCCCAATTGCTGTATTCCCATTAAATAAGAAATGCAATTAAAATATCAGTTTCCTGTCATCTTCCTTGTCTTCTCTTTCAACATCTGAGTGTTGAGTACATTTTGGTACGGCCAAAAAAGTCATCTGAGCCCAAAAACCTTTTCATTGAATGTTTGTCTTTTTTTTTTTTTTTTCAAAATTTAAGTGTTTCCAGAAAGCAAATTTCTTTTCGTAATTCCAATCTGCACAATTTTATGATCAATGGAAATGCAGCTACCATTAGCACACTTTATCAATATTCTGCTCATGTCAAAAAAATGCAATGTCACAACTCCAGTGTTTCCATTAAATAAGCACATGAATGAGCTTGTTCACACAATAAGTTATTAAAAACACGCCATCCTCCTACCATTGTCTTCTTTATGACAGCATTCATTTGATCATGTCGTGAAATTGCTGTTTTGCAAGATGAACCCATTTTGATACGGTTAATAAAAACACCTCATCCTAGTGCCAAAGTTTTGTTTTAGAAATTGGCCTGTTAATTAATTAAGCAAATTTATTCTTGATATACCAAGTTGTGCAGTTAGGCATGATTCTCATGCACAACTTGCTATGGGGATGTCTTATGGATGGAGGCTTATACCACAAACAATGACCCCAAATTGATTGCAAGGTATTATTTGAAAACAGTTTCATGTGTCAAGGAATGTCTTGAGAGAATATGTGCCGACAGAGGCACAGAAAACATTTGTGTTGAACAAATGCAGAATTTCTGCGGCGAAACCACACAGACAGTTTTGCAGGGGACAAAAGTTTCCTTTACCGAGGAAGTACATCCAACCAGCGCATCGAAGGCTGGTGGTCGAACCTCTGCAAACAGAGTGCACAAGTTTGGATGAACTTATTTCAAACCTTTCTGGATGATGGTCACTTTACAGTGAATAAAAGCCTTATCCAATTCTGCTTTCTTAATCTTATTCAGGTAAAGGTGTATACTTGTTCACTGTAATGTCTTTGTTTTAAAAAATATTAAAAGAAATCTTCTGGTATGTTTACCAGAAATAAAAAAGGTTGAAATTACTTGGGAATCTGTTCCCCTACACTTACTTTGGCATAGTTTCAAAAATAAGCTATCCATTAATAATTTTACAATATATTGAGGAGTCATTTTATGTGCAGAATAAAATGTTTTGGAATTGCTATTTTGTTCTTGTTGCTTGGTTTTAATTAGAGGCCACGTTCTATATCTGCAGATTAATATAGGTCTCATCTTTAGCCAAAGCTACTATTACATATTTAGTTTCAAACCTTTATACTGTGTTGTTTTTATGCAGGATGATCTTGATGATGTGAACACATGGAACTCACACAAAATCCAGGCAAGTGGAGGTGCAGTATCAGGTCGACCAGTGGTGATGTACTGACTTCCAGAGCTGTATAAGGCTGACAGACTCAAACCTGTTTTTATAGATGCAAAGATTTTAGGAGATTTTACACAAACACATCCACAGTGACATCAAACAGTCCTGAGGAGGGTGGAGTTTCAGTGTGATCAGATGAAGATGCGACTAACTAAAGGTGGCGCAAAGAGAAAGGATTCCCATTAAAACTGGCCGCTTTAAAAAATCTCACCAGATCAAAGGACAAAAAGTAGAAAGTCAACCTGCTTCCAGAAGCAGAATGATTTTTCTGTACTGCCTGTTTCTTTTATGGACCAAACCCAACAAGAGACTGTTTGGTGATTGGCTGCTGTTTGCGTTAAATGATAAGGCAGTTGATGCTTCCGTCTTGCAGCTGCCAATATTTGCTTCAGTTAGGCATGATGGAAATGCTGTCAGTGTTCTTATCTGAGCTGTGACCTCTGCCATGTCTTACAGTCTCATTGGAGAGTTTCTGTTTCTATGTTCTGTAATTTATTGCTGTTTTGTTGTGCAGAATTTTGTTTTAGAGATCAGCTCTGGTAAGACTGGGACATGCTGGGTCTATGCGTCTCCATACCTGATATTGAACGGTCACACACACACATGCACCCACAATTGAAACTCCATTCACCCCTCAGTCCTAAACCTAAGGGATCAGGCTTTGGTCCCTACAACATGAGGAAAACAGTCCTACAATACTTCAAGTGCAAGGCTGAAGACACATGCACACCCACACATGTTTTAATACTGCTCATTGTTAATGCTCTGTATGCATAAGTTGCTGTTGCTATGGTTTGTTGAATTTGTTTTTTTTCCATCTTCCTGCAGGTGTACAAACAGACTCGTGTCTTCTCGCTATGCTTCTGTTTCTCCTTGTAACTCCTTCTTTCCCTTTAAACATTTTTTTCCCTATCTGATTTTTTTCATGCAGACCTGTGAAGACATGATTGCAGTAATCAATGTGACTAAAAATAAATGCATGGATAGGTTTTTCTAGGTCTTACTAGGACATTGATCTTTTAGTCCTGGAAATGTTCTTCAGGTGATAGAAGGCCGATTTTGTAGCTGTCTATGAGACTCTTGTGGTCCAGGTCAGAGTTCATCATTACTCCCAGATTTCAGCCTTATTTCTAGTTTCCATCTCTAATAACTGAAGCTGTGTGTTGAGTCTAGAACATTACTGTTTGGGTTCAAAGGTGACTGCAGCTTTGCTTCTGTTAAGCTGGAGAAACATATGGAACAGATGCTAATTTTTCGCTAAAAATTTTAATGTACAACACCCAGCTGCCAGTCCATTCCAAAAGTAAAACATATCAAAAATCTGTAAAGGAGCTAATCCTTTTATTTTTTCTAACGCCATTGCCATTGATTATTGAGGAAAATGGCAAAGAGACAATGTGTTTATGCTGTGTTTTACAAAAAAGCTTATTCAGGTCAATAAGTTTCCAGAAACAAAACCTGAACTGACGCTTCATGTGACGTTCAGCCAAACTTCTTATTAGAAGTTTCCATTTCCTCCCATTGTTAATTCTCCTCCTCCTCCTCTCTGGGCTGCAGACTGGAAAATACTGCAGCTGGTTTCTCACAGAGGTACTTAGCGCTCAGCTCAAGGTTACGGCTTGACATGATGACATGTTGCTCTCTCTGAATTAAAGGGCACTCTGAAAATGATGATTTAAAAACCTTTAATGGCTGGTATTACACATTTTCCTATTAGAACAAAAGGGAAAAAAACAGAGCGTACAGGTTTGATTTTACACGCGTCAATTTATTGTCAAACAATAAATGTCAATGACCAATATTTCATCTACTGTAACAGAACAGCAAGGCAGCATGTTGTCCTGAGTGTAATGAGTCTTACACTTTTGTGTAAGACTCATTTCTATTTGCACATCCAGAAGGCTGCTTTACATAAAAATATTTTTTTAGAACAAAAGATATTGGACTTAAAGATAATGGCACTTAACTTGCACTACCAAAACCTTATTGAAACAACTTATGTTTATTTTGTGAGCGAAACACAACACTTGTCAGAGGACTGAAACTGCAGAACAAATATAAACTGAACTTAAAGCCTCTTTTATAAATACTCCATGCTGTAATAACAACTGACTCACAGCAGGATGTATTTGCATGAGGAGTGTTTAGTGTTTGTCACTTGTAACATGTGAGAGTTGAGAAAGCTTTAATTATGTCTGTACAAACAGCAACAGCCAGGAGAAACATCTGTGCAGCAGGCAGACAGTGTGCATGAACGCTGGCCAATGGCCACAGCTTTTAAGGAGAGACTCCAGTCTTTCATTCTTTGTAAGGGCAAATTTACAGCATAAGAAAAAAATACTGTACAGTTATTAAAAGCATACTCTGATTTAAAGGGGCAGAATTATATATTTTTCAGGCACATTGTGAAGTAACTTATATTTCCTGTGAAAATCCTCTATATGTCAAAATATGGCCCCCATTAAAATTAGGCCTCTGTCTCTTTAAGAAACTCCTGCTCTTTCTGAAACGCCGTCTTCAGGAAGTCATCACAACACGGCTCCCCTGTTAACCCGTTAATATTCTTACCAGTGTCACACTGAAAAGTAACTATTATAATGAGCTCAGCAGATGAACAGTTCCACCAGGTGTTGGTTAATTGCTGCTGGCTAGTCTGAAGGAGCTGAGTGGGGAAATCTCAGGCATTTAACACAGCTGAATGGTTGCTATGGGAGATTAAAGGATTTCTCAAACACTCTGGGTATTTTGTTTAATGAGGGAATAACATTGTAAAATGATGTAAAGCTCAAACATTTTTAATTCACAAAATTCTATCCCTTTAAAAAAATGTGCAACTAAGCAAGATAATTTACATCTGTTTGCATATCTGTGCATAAAAATAACATCACAAGAAAAAGAAAATGCATATAACAGTCTTGAACTAAACACTTATTGACTTTATTGGGAGACATGATGGTTTTAAAGTTTAACACCAGCTGGTAAAAAGGATGGGACAGTCGCCCACTAAAGGAACTTCATGCGTTGGGTGGCATAATACAAGGAAGCACAACACCTGTCAGAGTTTCAATGTTACTATTAAATAAAGCTACAAATTTATATAAAATGCATAGGGATGTAATGAGATCTCACAATCACTAAAAGGTGCTTGTGAAGCAGCTTGTACTTAAACATGAGCCATCAGGTTTAACCCACTTCTCTTTAAATTTATTTACAATTATAAAAAAAAATTGTTTCATCCAAACAAATGCTAAATCAAATAGAGACCGTAAATTGGAATATAGCACAATGAATAGATCATATGTGAGATATACATACATAGCAGCACATGGCTCAGTCATCTTGAAATCTACTGCAATACGCAAGCCACTCAGCTTGACCTCCTCGTTAAGCTAGTAGTTTAACCTGGAGTTGACTATTAGCTAGTATTAGCTTAATTCCAGGCTAATACTGAAGCTATAAGCTAATATTAGCTAACAGTTATTAGCTGAACTCCAGTAAAGTTATCTTAAGCTAAGGTTAGCAAAGTTAATATTAGCTAAGGTTAGCTGAGCTTAAGCTAGCTTAACACCCAACAGTACAACTGTAACACGATGGCTGTATGTAAAGTGCTTCAAGTGTCTGGTATGACTCGAGATGCTACATAGAGTTAGAACAT